AATGAGCGCGCGAGAATTCTGAATAACTGCAGCCATTAAATCCAGATTTTCCAAGCCCAGTAGATCAGAGAGCTAAAATCAACTCAGCGATGTAAAAAATGCTAGCAAAATCCATCGCGTATTACCTGACTTTCTAAACTTGTGGGATCTTCATTGTCTAAAAGAATGTTGATAGTTGGAATTAACATGTCAGTAGCGCCACTAAATCTTGTAGTAAGCTCGTGTACAAGGTGCGATAAACTGAAACTGAGTCCACTGGACGATGATGGTATACTTTCAATGACTGCTTGGGGAATATACTCCATAGAAAACCCCAAATCCTCGCCGTTTCGGTTACTGCCGTCAGAGGAATGACTAGTTTCAAAATCAACGACGCCTTTGCTATTAGGCTGATTAAAATCACTCTGTGTACCCAGTTTTATCGTTTGCACCGGCTCCATTTCGTTGAGTTGCGCTAAGAGACCATCGAAGGTTTCAAAAATTCTGTAAAGAATCTCATAAAAATCGGACTCTTCTGCAAAACAGCCCTTCAAGCTAATAACGCTGTTCAAAGCATCCCTGACGCATTTTTCCGGAAACAGTCCAAATTCAAGTCGAAGCTCCTGTCGCTGCTTTTCGGTAATAGAGTTCGACGAATTTCTTGCGAACATTTTCAACAGCGTTAAAACTGTCTTTTGTAGCAGCTGAATGGGAACAAAGGTTTTGTTCGATCCTGAAATAATACATGTACATGAAAGGGAATATGGCAATTAATTATTACTTCTAATTTCGACCGCGACCGACTCCAAGGCATCGACACATTCACTGACGATGCTTTCCGTGCCAGAAATGCATCGACTACGCAATCCATCCACCAACGTACCCAAAACTGATGCTCTTCGGTATTCCCCAGGTCGCTTAAAACGATATAGTCCAAATTTTCCAGGCAGGCTGAGCCTCGTGCTTTCAGAGGTACTCTTCGATGTCGAATCTAGATGTTCGCCGTATGTCCTGCGTGAATCTGCCATACCACCCTTTGTCTTTACTTGATGCTAAAACAAGTTATTAAACATACTGAACCAACGGAAAGCCATACGAGGAACTGCCCGATTATCAAACTTTTTTCGAACACATCAGTCACATAATTGGCTCTCCAGGAGAAACGTTTGGTAGCTGCCAAGGACTTCATTAAAAATGCTCACATATAAGTCGGCTACACAAATTACAAAT